CTGTTTGCAGCCTAATTGCTGTTGCTACTTCTCGCCACTGAGACCTTTTCCAAATAGATGTGAAAAATTCATTTCTTAATGGTGATCTTCTTGAGGAGGTTTATATGTAACCTCCACTTGGGTCTACTTATCCAGCTAATAAAGTTTACAAACTTCAACGTGGTCTCTATGGTCTTAAACAAGCCCCTCGTGCTTGGTTTGCTAAGTTCAGTTCCACCATTCATAATATTGGTTTCACCTTCAACTTATATGACTCTGCTCTCTTTATTCGGAAGACTATTTATGGTACAACTCTTCTTCTTCTCTATGTGGATAATATGATTATCACCGGTGATGATGTGGCTTGTTTTGTTAGCCTCAAACAATCTTTCAACCATTGCTTTGAAATGAAAGACCTTGGTACTCTCAATTATTTCTTGGGTCTTGAAGTCTCCAATGATTTTATTGGTTATTATTTATCATAGGCTAAATATACATCTGATCTTCTTTTAGATACTACTCTTTATCGCTAGCTAATAAGTAGTCTTGTCTATCTCACTATGACACGTCCTGACATTGTTTATGTTGTACATCTTGTTAGTCAGTACATGTCGGCTCCCCGCACCCCTCATTACACTGCCCTGCTTCGCATACTTCGCTACCTCAAAGACACCATGTTCCATGAACTCCATTATTCTGCTCACTCATCTCTTGAGCTTCGTGCCTTTTTTGAGGCTAATTGGGCTGGAGATCCTACTAATTGATGCTCCACTATGGGTTTTTGTTTCTTCTTAGGGGATTCACTTCTTGCTTGGTGCAACAAGAAACAATCTCTCATTGCTTGTTCTAGTACTGAAACTGAATACCATGCTCTTGCTGACACTACTTAGGAACTTCTGTGGCTTCGCTGGCTCCTTGCTGACATGGGTGTTTCCTTCTCTGGTGCTACCTCTCTTTATTGTGACAATCAAAGTGCCATTCAAATTGCTCATAATGATGTCTTCCGTGACCACACCAAACATATTGAGATTGATTGTCATTTTAGTAGACAACATGTTACTCGTGGCGCTGTCCATCTTCTTTCTCTTGCTTCTGCTGATCAGCTTGCTGATATCTTTACCAAGGCTCATCGTCCTGGCCGTTTCAGTGACTTAGTTTCCAAACTCAAATTGGTTGATGTTTATCCTCCTTGAGTTTAAGGGTGGATGTTAATATATATGGTTAATATATATTGTATATATTTAGGTATATTCCCTGTAAATCTAGGAGTCCTTCCATACTTGTAATCTAGGAGTCCATACTTGATTGTAACATTCTCCTATATATAGGAGTCGCTGTACATTGATTCTGAGATATGCAATTCATATATATATTTCTTTTAACCATTTTAACAGATAGAATGAGAATTTCATGATTATATGATTTCTATTCCTTCTTGCAAGCATAGATTAGATGGTTTAGCTACTGATTTTATCTTCTTATGTTTTCAAATATTCTCCATTGTTTGAAATAATCTTGCATGAGGGTAAAATGAGATAAGGTTGGTTCACTTTTACTTGAAACTTATATTTTGTTCACTGTTTCAGATTTTATCGGATGAAAAATTCTCTAATAAATTGAAAATAACTTGTGTTTAAAATCTTTTTGTACTAGGAGTATATATAGGTGTTCTATACACGTGTAAATTTTTTATAAAATCATTGGACACTATTTCCTTATCGAAGTAAATATTTGTCCTAAGTGTTGCTTATAACATAGTAGAAACGTGACTTCAAATAGGTCCTATTTTCTCTGAAAATGGTATTTTTCTGCACGACCACTTGGGATAGTTAGATATAAGAGTTATCTTTCATTTGCCACTGACATCACAAAAAATGAACAAGTCTAAGAGGAGAAATTGCAGTTATACTAAAATGCGACAGAATCTGTCCAATTTTCTTAGCAAAATTATTTGACCATCTTCCATTGATTTTCAGTCTTCAAGCTTTCTATAAATATGTTCTAAACTCAAATATCTAGCAAGCCATTGTGACCATACCTCTTTTTAACATCGTTCGAGACCCCTTTTTATTTTTCAAACATAGATCACCTGTGTTCGAAGTTGCTGTAGCTCATTGTCCCAGAAACCAGTTTTCTTTCAAATTTTATTTCTCCATTTTAAAATTGTTTTCAGCCTTGGTATTCTTCTCAAAATATTTTCCTAACTCAGTGAACTAGCACCAATTAAAATATTATAATAATTGAACATAGTTTGTTATAGGTTTCATTATTTTTAGTCTGCCCATTCAGTGCTGAAAATAAGAAGTGTGAGAAATTCTAAGAAATTTTATGATGACTCCTAAGACATTCTATAAATATATTTTGGTTGTCATACGTGGTTGTGTTGTGATATATAAACCTTATGTCACTGTGGTTTTCAAATTAAAACTCGCACATGATTCAAAATGTGAATTCGACAAGAAATTGAATCGATGCATTAAAGTTTAAAAGTGATGGGGTGAGCCTGGTTTAGAGTCTTGCGCGAGTGAGTTACGAGCTCTAACATGGCACGGGAAAGTATTTCGGCTTTTATCGGTATAGCGATATAAGGTTAGTGGTGCGGGTGTCACAACATAGACCGTTCTCTTGAGGCAGACCGAGATGTCACGACTTGGGTACGTAACCCTGGTGTGTGGGCATCATTGGTAGTTACAGCAAGTAACATTTGAATATTTGACCAATGGGGAGTTAGAATTGCCTATCGCCATTGCTTAACGGTTGAGTGAAAATAGTGCTTTATGGGGAGTTACTTAGACTTACCTGATAAACTAAACCTATGTGAATTTAAAAGAAAAGTTGACATTTTTCCTATGATGAATTACTACTTCCATTTGCCATTGTTCTTATTATCTATTATTATTATTTTAACTGATAGCATTCCTGTTATGCTTATTAAACGCTGGTTGTTACTCTGTTACTACACAATATTCATTAATTGTGAGTATTATTATTGGGGAGGGTATTTTCGGATTGTACTATCTTATTGAGCTCATCGCTTGAAGAAACCGAAGGAAACACCAAGGCTTTGGAAGGTGACGTTCAACCTTTGGTTAGCTTGAAGTGTGCCTAAGTCCCATGAACCCTTTTCCTGAGTTATCTAGTTTTTCTCTAGTTTTCTTTTTTTGTTTTTTTTATTATATATATTTATGTTTTTCTTTCATGAATATACTAAGACTAAACTTTAAGTTTGATTGGAGTTGTAATTTAAGAACTTTTAATTTCTGTTTTGTTAATTGATGGATGATGGCAAACATAGTGGCAACAATGATTAGAAGTTCTTAATTAAGAAAATTGATTTTAAGTTTTAAACTTTATTATGATGTCCTCAAATTTTGGGGTATTACAGTGAATGTGTTTTTTTGAATGAATAAGGATGGGTTGGTGTATGTATATAAGTGTGAGTGTGACGGTGAAAAAGAATAAAAGATTAAATGGTTTGACAAATATTGATACAATAATAAAGTGACACGGTGAAAATGGATGTTGATTTTTCTTAAAAAAAGACAAAAAATTTGTTAAAAATTATTACTATAAAAATATTGCCGATGGTCACCGGGGGACTCATAACCAAAATAAAAAATTAAAGAAAAAATGTCAAAATCTATACCAGTCTTTAAAAGTTTGTCTCTTTAAAAATTAAATATAATATATAAATAGAATGAGTTAATAATAAGAAAAATTATAAATATATCTTTTGAGACTTGATTAAAATATAAATTATCTCTTATAACTTTGGAAATTATATTCTATTTCTTGGAGTTTTTAATTTCATAACAAATCACCATTTTTATTAATAAATTATCAAGTCTATTAACAGTTTTTAATGATATTAGAAATATGTTTCAATTAATAATTTAGATATTTTTTTATTATATATGAGAGAAATTATGAATTTTATTTTTTAATTAATTCTGTTAAAAAAAATTCTAATAAGAGAATATTTATAATTTCAAAACTAAAAAAATAATCTGTATTTTAAATAAATTTAAAGAAATATATTTATAATTTATCCTTAAAAATAAGACAAAACAAATTATCCAACTTACAGGGGTGAGCAGTGGATATTCTGATCCGTCCATACCAATCGAACCAAACCGGTCTATCACATTTTAGACGGATGCATAATGATGAGCAGATGGTTGCGGATTGATTTTTTTTTCTTTCAATCTGCTTAGTTTTGGATGGATGGTAGATTTAAGGTTACTTTGGCTGCAACCAAACTGCCAAACCGTGAGCACCCCTAGTAATTTATAAGATTTTGTATTTTCAATTTGTTCATATATTCTGTTTGTGTTTTCAATTGAAAAAGAATTTAGATATTTTGTTGTGTTTTTAATTTGGAAATCCTTTTATCAAATGACAAATGTTGATATTTGATATTTTTGTGTGGAAAATATAAGGTTTAATTTTATCATTTAAAAAAAAAATCAAATTAAATAGTTTTTGAATAAAAAAAATAATGAAATAGTTTTGATATGCATAGTTTTCTTATATGTTTTTATTATTGATATTTGACAATTTACTTTATAATCCTTTGGTTATGTTGAGTTAGATTCACTGTGTTTGGTTGTGATTTTTTAAACACGGTTTTTAAAAAATTTTATACAACCTGTTTGGTTATTTTGAAAAATGAGTTCCGTTTTCAAAAAATTATGGCCTTGTTTGGTTTGTATTTGAGAAACATGTTTTGAGATAAAAATTACGAAAATTTGTTTCGTTTGGTTTTTTTTCAAAAGATGTTTTGAAAAATTATTTTGAGAGAGAGTTTTAGAAAAAGTGATTGATTTGATGTGTATAAGAGAGAGATTTGTTTGGAAAATTTGTAAACAAACAAGTTTTAGAAAAAAAATTTGAAAAAATTTATTTAATTTGATTACTTTTAAAAACTTATTTGTAAAAAAAATTTTCCAAAATTTTTTAAGAAACACAAACTAAACAACGCCTATATTTTTAGGATTTGATTCTTCACATGATGTGAAGAAGCTAGACATTAGTACAGTCTACTTATGTACTCCTCACAGCCTCTGTCTGGCCCGTTTATTACCTTTACCAAACCTTTTCCACAGTTTGGCTTTCGTTGATATGCCAAGGTCAGCAACACCGGAGCAACGACAACAGCCATTGACGAAGACGCTGTTTAGGTGTGGCCGATTTGAGCTGCGGGTGGCGAAGATTAGACGATGAAGAGGTTAGTCATTTGGATTGTGGTTTATCATGTTTTCATTTCATCTCCATTTCCACTTTCGATTTTGATTTTCATTCTTCTTAATAAATTTGTAAGAAATGAAGTTTTGTCCAACATTCAAATGATTTATAAACCAAATTGAAAATCCCTTTCAGCATAGAAATCAGTTCGCTGCTTTGATTTTGGAAATTAATTTCATCATTTGAAACGAAAAGAAATTTTTGATTCAAGAGTATCTGGTTTCAATTTCAGAATGTAAGTTCCACATTTCGGACATACTAAGCACATATTTTCTACTTTTCATTTGGACAATTAGTTTCATCAAATTGCAATGTGGTCACAGTTTCCCCTTTCCCAACTGTGGTTTCAAAATCGCTATTTAAGTCCTTCATTTTCGAATTAAAGCATAATTTTTTTTGGGAACATTCTTCTGCTTTGGTGTATAAATTTGGGACTTCAGCAAGTTTTTAGTACAACTTACTAAAATATCAAGAACACAAGCCCACCACAAAATGGATTTTATAGTGCTCGTTTATACAACATTTACTGTCAATCTGGTTGATTCTCACCCATTTTCTTGATGAAATAAAGCATGCAAACTTCACTTACACATAATTTCAATTACTAGTTTCTCCCATTTTTTCGAACCTAAGTCTTATTTTTGGGTTATCTAAAACTATCTCATACTTGCTTAGGTCTTCACAAAAACAATCCAAACAAAACTATGAATGAAAATGTGTGACTGCTAAGAAATATGATTCACTTGAAGCAAAAAATAGAGGAGAGCCACCTTAATTGCCTTACAGATCATTTTTATGAGTACTGTGATGTCACTTAGTATGATACAGTTGAGCAAAAAAAAAAGATAAAAATTGAATTTTGGCCTTTCTTGATTTCCTTAAACCAACCAGCTGTTTTCCGTTGTGTTCTGCACCTTGTAAATATGTAGCAGATTTATTAAACAGTACTGTTCTGTCTTAGGGTGTATTTCAATCATGAATTTGGATACAAAAAAATAATGTGAATTACTTACCGAATATAGTACATCTCATATTGTGTTTTTGGAACCTGTTTTGACCAAGACTTTATTTCAAACACATCATTTGGATTTTATGGTTACTGTCATTGACTTCCATTCTGATTTACTAAATTCCATTTCTCATAATATGTTGATAAACTAGCCAAAAGAACATAGAAAACATGATTCAATTTTCTTTATAGCTTTCTCTCCTCCAACAGGAAGTTGTACTTATTTCTTTACTTTTATTGTTGTCATCATTGTTGATGTAGTGACATCGTCAATTTCTTGTGGTTGATTTGATCTTCGTTTTACCAAGAGTCGTAAGGCAAGGAATAAGCTCTTTCAACCCTTGTAATTGCATTCTATGTATGTTTCGACAACATATTCGTTGAATATAATTCATTCATATCATTATGTTATCGTCCATCTACTAAACAACAATGAACACGAGGACCCCCATTTACTAAAGTGCACTGTACAGTCTATTTACGAAGACCCCCATTTACTGAAGAAGCTTTCAAGACGAAGCAATAGACAGGACACACACCGGACTTTATTGCATCTCTTTGTGGTGAAAACGACGTGGTGGTAAATATTACTCCACTGAATTTTGTAAATGTGTTACATGCATTGTTTAGTGAAACATGAATGCATTCCAAAAAGCTTACTCTATTCATCGGATTTTTTTTTTGTACCCAGACTATTACATTCTACCAAACCTCCTTGTTTATACATACGGAATACCCATATAAATGTTAGACATGTCTATTAAACTTGGTTTGGATAGTTGCAACTTATGATATAAAATTAGTTATCATGTGCAACATGTCAGTACTGTTGCAAACAAAAAAAACTTTTATCCGTGTAGTACTCTACAATTGTAATTGTATAAACATGTTCCTTTTATTTTTCTTGCGTAAACAACCTGCTTGACATTTATGTTCGAAGTTGTAACTTGGTATTTTTAAGAAGTTAGAGCTCATCACTTAAGTAAACCCATGACTTACTTCACATGTGTAATATGTGTATGTCATAGATGGACAGTGAGGGGTTCGTTGAGGATGCACAAGACCTGAGGTTGTGGCCAAGCAGGATTAAGTTGGCCTTTTATACAACTAATGGTCAAAGAGGTGAAGCAAGACCCTTCGTTAACCAAAAAAAAACACTTTTACCACAAGGCATTGGAGTCGGATTGATGATGAGCTGTACAATCAGTTCAAAGTTAGGTACACGGTTAACCGTTTGAAACAAAAGTACCACCGCATCAGGCAAGCTTACAATACATTTGTAAAAGTGAAGAACCATATGCGGTTCGACTGGGATGACCAGAGGAAAACGGTTGTGGCCCTGGATGATGTTTGGGATCAATATGTTAAGGTAACTACCACCACCTTAGATTTGAGTACAACCTTCGTACTATAGTACGTTAACTGTTAAGTGACTTATTTACCACATCTTTGGTTGTCTTATTTTTGTAGGCACATCCCAAAGCTAAAGTGTTTAGGAAAAAGGGTCAAGATGACATTGACTTGTTAGATGTCCTCTTTGCAAACTCCCAAGCCACTGATGCACTTGCCCATGCTTCAACTCAAGGACCCCCAACCTCTGATGAAGAAAGGGATATCCAAAGTGCATTCTTTGGTGTTGGTATTAACTCAAATACCGATTCTATCCCTGTTGTTGACGACATTGATAGAGATGACTCGAAGGTAGGTGAGAGTAGTGGCAACGATGGTGGGCAAAAGGGTGCACACCTTGATTTTGCACTTGATACATGGATTACCACGAACCTTGTAAAAAAAGAATTTTACGTGCGCCAGAACAAAATGGCTGAAGTGAGTTACGCCGAGAAGAAACAATACTCCATTGATGCATGTATGGACTGCTTGGCAACAATGGACGAAATTACTCCTGACCAATACGTTAAGGCGTGTGATAGTTTCCGCGATAAAGCAACGAGAAGAATTTTCATGAAGATGGTACCCAACATAAAGATGCATTGGGTTCGTAAGCTCACTTAGGAATTAAGTTTGACAATGGATGCAATTTTGTTTTGTTAGGCATCCAATTTGGTGTAAGTCAACGTATGCGGCTAAAACATTAAAAATCTGCTCTTAATTTTTTTGTTTAATCCATGTTTTTCATCTGTGTACTATGGCTATGTAAAGAACTTGGAGGCTTTACCAAATTATGAGTTTGTCTATCAGGACCAGAACATTAGACGCGTATTTCATATTCCAGTTTGGGACAGTTAAGAACTTCTATTGTTACTTGTGCATTGAATTGTCAACCAATGAGGTTGAGTAGAGAAGCCTGTATTATTCCCACCCCTAACATGTTTGCTTGCTACAATTACTTATGATTAACAAAATTTTATATAATGTTGCTTGACCATGGAACAGACAAACTAATGTTGGGATTTCGTAAGCCTGATGCTTTTAGGCAAATTAGTGAGCTTACACATGATAATGAGGCAAGCTTACCAAGCTGCTGAATCATTGAGTTTTTATTATTCAGTGTTGTGGCATACATTGAATTGTGTTACTGAGGAATTTGGCCATTTTTTAGATTTGGGATCATCGGATAATTTTCCATTCTGCTTGATATGTAGCTTTTTTGGGTTATATCTCTAGACACTTCGTTACTGAGGGAATTTGGCCATTCTTTAGATATTTGACATCATTGGACACTTTTGCGTATGGTATTGTTCTACTTAATATGAATTTGGGATTTGTTTGAGTTTATATTGTGTCATTGCTGTGGAGCTGTTCCACCATTACTTTCTGGTTTGGTTATAAATTTTAAATATTAATTTGGTTGACTTGTTGGTTGAGCTATTGGGACTACATTTTGGTGGTGTTTGTTTTGAAGGATTGGCGCATGAGATTGGACTATTAGTTTTGTTGGATTGTTGTATCCCATTGGGAGAGGGAGGATGGGATAGAAATCATGAGATAACTCATCCCATGGGATTAACTTATGAAATTATATTTTTTGGCCTCTTGTATTTAATATCTTTTTTTAGTGTTGTTAATTTAAAATTCTATATTAAATAAAAAAAATTATAAATTAAATTTAATTAAAAATAATAAATTAAAAAAATTAAATTTATATATTAAATAAAAATCAAGGGTAAAATTTAGTTGCTGAGGCAATGCCATTGGGTACAACACTTCGACTGTTGAAACAATGCAATGCCTCCAATTAAGGGGCTCAATAAGCGTACTCCACTCAACTATTTTTTTTGGTGACACTCTAGGGGATCTTGACTCAAATTCGAAACCTATTTTCAGTCTAATCTACTATTGAAAAGGGTTTGTATTTTTGTTTCGAAGTTAGTATTATTTCCAAGTTAGTATTATAATGTTATGGATTTATGTATCAGGCCTTCATATAATGTTATGGATTTATATTATTTCCAACTTAGTATTATAATGTTATGGATTTATGTATTAGACAATTAATTGAACCTCTTTCTCGTGTCGATGTGAATTAGATTTTCATTTTTATTTTACTTACTTTGTACTTACAGAAATAGACCCAAGCAACTCAACAAATCTGTTTGATATGGACGTCACAACGAACAATCAGGCAAATGAATTTCCTGACTACGACAACATCATGGTGGAAATGGATTCAAGTAAGGAAAGCCTGGAGAGCGAGGACAGCAAAGACATCGAGGACATTCGTGACAGCGCTGATAGCAAGGACAGTGAAGACAGTAGTGCAGAGCAGTTGAGGTCGTCATTTATTACATCAAACGACAATGACGTGGACTTTGCCATGGTATGCCGGGTATTCGAATCTGTTAGAAAAATAGTACCAAACTATCGGGAAAATATAATTTAAAATATGCAAACGATTTTCGGGCAAAACCAAAACTGAAATAAATCGATATAATAACGTGATAAAACTATAAATAGATAAAACCTGATCGAGTCAAGTGTGTGACACTCTCTTCTTAAGACAGATTCGTCCTCCCACCGGTGCTTAGGATTCAATGGACGTCTATCTCTCAAGATACAATGATCAATGTCTTGCACTAGCCTCACTACTATTGCAAGCCTAGCAAACTTTGCTGTGCATGAACTTTCTTTATAAGAAAATTAGACTCAGGAAATATGAAAAATAAATGCAAAGTGAAGAAGAATGGCAATTCCCCCTCCAAATTGAAGTGAGGGAGATGGAATATAAAGACTTCTATGTGACTCTTTAGAAAGGTTGTGATCCTTCAAAAGGACACACCCTTTCATCTCAAGAGACAGAACCATTGGAGTAAATTTAAATTCAAATTTTCCAACAATCCCCCACATGAATGAAATTTACGGAAAGGACATGCAACAACATGCAGACAAAGAGAGAGTACATTATGGAAATATCCTGCATCGGGATAGGTAGCTTTCGGCTTTGAACCTTCCCTAGTGAAAGTCTATCGGACTTACTAGCTAATCAGTGGATGCGATGCCTTGAACTGTTCAGCCGTTTGTGTAAGCCAAGACAATGGAATTCACACCGAATATCTCCAAACACAGTTTAGTTCTCACGGTTGTGCCCGTTTTGGCCTTGGGCAAGTCCTGGTGTTTCTTGAGTGCTTTAGAGAATTTAGCCTAATTAATTCTCATAGAGGCGGCCCCTTCACACTCATATAGGTGATCCTTATTTCGAGTCTCTTAAATACTCCTCTTGAAAGATACCTGTAGACACCCCATTTTTGACCGACCTTAAGACTTAGACGTCACCAGTTGAGCGCTCGGTGATACTACATAATGTGCTCGTTCAGAAGTTTCAGAGTCTTGGCCGTCAGCCCTGCCTCCGGATTTCCGAACCCTCTTCTGTGCCTTGCCTCGGTTTGCGAACCAGACTCGGTTTTCTCTGTTTCTTTTCCTGAGGGGAGGGAGAGGTCCCATAGACCATCTCTCAGTGGCCGTGGGCTACATTTTGTGGCTATAGGCCATTTTTCCCATTTCGGAGCCTGGTTTCCGGTTTTTTCGGGACCGTTGGCCGTGTGCCTCGGTTCGGGACCGCTTAACCATCTCCGTTTGCTCTAAATTTTGGCATACATCTTATTTTCTCCCTTTCAAGGGACACTGGGGTCTGAGAAACCCACTTCGTGACCGAACGCCACTTTCGGTGCTTGGCAGCCCATTTTCGGGACCCCGAACTGCGTGTTTTGGCCCCCGAGCATTCGTTTTGCATCGGTTTTCGTTCATTTTTGGCAGGTGCCTCTGTTTCATCACCAGGAAGGTCACTGGAGGGTGGGAGGCCAGCAATTATCTTGGCAACCAGTTATATTCCATCTTCACCCTCCGACACCCGTTTTTCTCACTTCCGAGCCAATGTTGAACACCTTGGGGCCACTTTCTTTAACCCCAAACCACATATTTGTGTTGTACACACATGGGAGGATCCTAATATGATATGGCCGGCCAGAAAATCCAATTGAACCTTTTGAACCCTTCTTAAAAATGGCTTGTTCTCTCTCCTGTTTCAGAGTTGCCAATTTTGAACCACAGGGTTGTGATGAGGGGGTCTGGGAGGCCACCTTTTTGTGGTGGCCAGCCACTAATTGAACTTGACCTTTTTGACCCCTAGCCGGCCGGCTAGGGGGGGTGGCCAGCCGGCCACCTGCAACTCCAAAAGGTGGCCGGCCATGATCCTCTCGATTGGTACTTTACAGCTATATAGCTGTTGTTCCCCAGAAACATCTGTATCCGGGGGATATTTTGTGGGGAAAAGCCTTGGTCCTTTTCCCCCACCCTTTCCTTCCATGCTCCCCCTCCTTTAGGTCCATATAACCAGCTGCAAGCATTGGTATTAGGGGTTAGAAAAAAATTGCTTCAAGGAGAGGCATCCAAATCTCCCTCTATCTCTCTCATTTTCTCAAAAACTCCTAAGTTCTACCCCATTCCTTCATCACCACCAAGCACCACCACCACCACTCCATTTCCAGCAGCAATGAGGGATTCTCAGAGGCTAAAGGTGCTGCAACTTGGCCCAAGAAGCAACCAAAGATTGGTCTACAAGGGTGAGTTGCCATTTCCCCCTTTTTGAGCTTATTTTTGCAACATTTCTTAGCCATACGTGCTTACTGATTTGAGCTCCGACCAAAACTGAAAAGGTCATTTTTTTGAGCTCATTTTCTTGTTTCATTAAGGGCTCAACCCTGTTTGAGCCCCCCACCTTGCACTTGCTTCAATACCTTCCTCGAATGCTATTTTCTTGCATGCTTTGGAAGCCCATTATTCTTCCATTTTTGGGCGTTTTATAGAACTAAAAATAGGCTTATTTTGAGCCCCTCTTCAACATTGAAGAAGGGCTCAACGCTGTTTGGGACCTCCATGATATACTTGCCTTTACATTCTCTTTTGGTCCCCATTTTTGCATGCTTTGGCAGCCCATTATGCTTCCATTTTTGGTCATTTTACAGAACTTAATATAGTCTTATTTTGGCCCATTCTTCATGTTTCATTAAGGGCCTTTGGCTGTTTGATGGATATTTAGCATACTTTGTGCTTTGGCCACCTTTTGGCCCATTTTCTTGCATAAGAGCTTAGCCATATCTATGTTTGTTTTTGAGGTTTTTACAGTTCTATAAAGTGGCTTATTTTTGGCCCCTCTTCAATGTTGTTGAAGGGCCCTAACCTGTTTGGAGTCAGAAGCTGTGAGTTGCTTCATAATCTCATATTTAGGGCCATTTTTGCATACTAGTTTTGCCCTATTTATGCTTGCTGTTTGGCCACGATTTGTACTGGTAAAATACTTATTTTGGGGCTTCCTTGCTTCTGTCTTTTCATTCCATGTACCAATTATGCATGCTTTGTATAGCTGTAAGCCATTTCACGTACTTAATCTTGTATTTCGGGAGAAATTCCATGCATCGGGTGTGTTTTCGCCTTATTTCGGGGCTGTTTTCCCCCACATTTCAGTGCTGAAATTCCATTAGCATGTTTGCATATCATATTTCCATGTCATTTGCATTGCGTATGCCATTGCCACGGTTTGCGTGCCCGTGTGCACGCATTTCGAGACACTTCATTTTCATCCATCGACATCCTATGTGAGTGTGGCTGAGGCTCTCTCACGTTAGTGTAAGCCCATATCATATTTCCATGTCATTTGCATTGTGTATGTCATTTTCTCGGTTTGCGTGCCCGTGTGCACGCATTTCGAGGCATCTCTTTTTTACAGCATAGTGCATACTAGGTTGTATCTTAGATCGTATTCTGTCATTGCCTCGGTTTGCGTGCCCGTATGCACGCATTTCGAGGCATCTTATTTTCGCAGTATAGTGCATACTAGGCTGTATCTTAGTTACATTCATGCATGTCATGCATATTGCCTTGCGTTCGGGATAGGAGTTAGCCCGGGCACGAGAAACGAGGGATGTTCCGTACTCCGAGTGACGGAACGTATCTCAAATTCCCCAGTCACCAACACTCCGGATCATCCATGATGGAGTTAGGTCTTGTTGTGTTTTCATGTGCATTCATCCCATATTAAATTGTGCAATTCGACTCCTCAGCCATCATGCATCGATATGCGTGATTGGTGGCACGAGGATCGAGGCATGCATATATCTGTGAAAATACATTGCCATGCCCCTTTCCTGCTCTCTGTTGCAGCAAAATGAAGAATCAGCAACTTTTTGGAGTTTGGCGCGCATTTCAAGAAAATGTGTAAACAGAGGCTAATCGGGGCATCCTAGTGGATTTCCGCGCAAGGCAGCCCAAACATACATCATTCATCAGAAGCAAGGCAGCCCCTGGCTTGTATGCCAGTTTACAGTTTTCTTAGTTAATTTGTAAATTAATTAGGAATTTGTACATTATTCGGACTGTAATATTTGGACTGTAATATTCTTTCATTTGGGACTGTATATTTATTCGGACCCTCTGCGCGAGGGCACAACTGTAATAAGTGTGCGTGTGTGTGTTGTATGCCTTCCAACCCCACGTCTTTCTTCCCTTTTATTTACCTGCTTATGATGGTTAGATTAGGGCATATTTCAATTAGCATACAGTATGATAGCATGTTTGCATTCATTCATCTGTTTTGAATGCACCGGGCTCGGCGCACCATACTAACTGCATTTGTATTTCAATTCCAAGTTGAATACATGTTAGCTGTAGCATTCCTTATGCCATGTTTAGAATAGCTGAGCCTGCT